GCTGGTGTAGTGTTCGTGAGACACCATTCGCAAGTCCGCGGCAAGACCGAGTGAGCGAGTTCACGTGTGCAGGATGCAGTTGGTCCGAGCCGTGTTCTTTATCAAACGCAGCTTAGAACTTCTGTGTCGGGCGCTTCCCCCGCACTCGCGGACAGTGAACCTCATGGTCACTGACTGAGAGGTTCTGACTTTTTCTTTCTTTTTTTTTTAATGAAGCCTGCGCAGGTCCTCCGTGGTCCATACACTGTTGAAATATGCGCCCGTGTTATTTGTGCTGGAGGCACAGGACGCTGGATTTTCATTGTGTGCGCAGGACAGAGTTTTCTGTGCGCTATGACCCTAAAAGCACTGCGCACGCGCGCAGCTTAGAGGGAGCTTTGGACCGAACCCGATTATAAACAGAATTGTTGACTGTCCTCCAGTGTCTCCAGGCCTCACCGGTGCACAGAAGCTTTGTGACTCCTCCAACATCTCCCAAAGTTATTCAGAAACAAGACAGACGCCTGCGATGCGGCCTCATCATTTCACAGCCGTCACCAACACTATTCACAGTGAGCTTCAAAAACACTTTCCACAACGGTAGCTATGGAAACCTCCGTGTGAAGTCCAAACAAAGATCTCATGTATTGAATAATGTGCCCCCCGACAGCAGCGGGTACTTGAGTCCTGACTAAGCTGAAGGGGGGGGGGGGGCAAAAAGGACAAAAAGGACAAAAAGGGAGTAGACTCTGCAAACATTATGCAACACATGAGCTGAGTTCATTAGCTTTTACTACTACTACTACTTCTTACTACTGTACGTCTACTTCTTTGTCTTTTTCTTTTTTGTCTTTTTTTTCTTCTTTTACTACTACTTCTACTACTACTACTACCACCACTTTTTCTACTACTACTACTACTTCTACTACTATAATAATAATACATCGGTTTTATATAGCACTTTTTTGGACACTCAAAGACGCTTTACATGTCATTATTCATTCCCTCCATACACGGTGGTGATAAACTACTACTGTAGCCACAGCTGCCCTAGGGCACACTGACAGAAGCGAGGCAACCAGTCTTTGACATCGGCCCCTCCGACCAGCAACCATTCACACACACACACCAGACTCATTCTAGGCAATGGGGGGTGAAGTGTCTTGCCTAAGGACACAACGACAGCAGACATCAGTGGGAGTCAGCTACTGTCGCCCTTCTACTTCTTCTTCTTCCTCTACTACTTCTACTACTACTACTACTTGTACTACTACTACTTGTACTACTACTTCTACTACTACTTCTACTACTACCTCTACTACTACTACTACTTGTACTACTACTTCTTCTACTACTACTATAATCAAAAAGATTATTTGGGCCATGTGTCCTGAGACCTTGGACAAGAACCTTCTTCCTTCAGTGACAGCATTGGACATTGGCTGTGTCTTCCAGTGGCTGTGTCTTCCAGGCATAACAATGATCCAAAACACACTGTCCTGGGATTAAAGAAGGAGAATTGTCTACTTTCTCTAACCTTTAACAAGAGCGTCCTGGCAATGCTTTTGACATCTTACATCTGACGTCAACATCCATTAAAAAAGCTTAAGATAACATTATCTTCTCTATCCAAACAACACACTACAACGTTTTGAGTTGAACTTTTGGTCAAATGCTGATTATTTATAAATTGTTTTTTTTTGTTTGGGACAGTGCATGTTAATGAACACACGTCTCCGGATGGCCATGGACTAATTTGCTTCCGTTGTCCCACATTTGCACTCACAAGCACACATCAAGTACCGAGTAGCGGTTAAACAGGGCCGGTGTAAACGCTTCCAATCGAGGCTCAAGTCAACAATGGAATCCACAAATCACTAATAAACTATTTCAAATCATCTTCATTCTTTTTCAAAACGGGCTAAAAGTATGCAAAAGTTTCAAGTTTCTATCTCTAAAAATACCAAACTTCTTGTGTCTTTTGCAGTGTCATTTGTTCCACAGAAAAGTCTTGTAAAAGTAACCATGTTGTTAGTGTCATATTTTGTTTACAGGGTATATAACTAGCCACATGTATGATCAGACACCAACTACACCTCCCTTTGGGGATATGCAGTTCCATACACAACCACCAGAGGGCAAAGTAGAGTCATACACACATTGAGTGGGGGGGAAAGTGGGGTCACACATACATACACAAAAAAACTATAAAAGTCACTTTTTGGGACATTGGAGATTGTATGTGAGAAATGCATTTCTGAACTTGGAGATGCTATATTCAATTAAATCTATCCTGGTTGAAGTCCCCAAAATTGTCCTATGTAAACTCACACACACACACACACACACACACACAGACAGAGAACTATTGTACATGTTTTTAGTGTTGGGGGAAACTGGAGCACCCAGATGAAACCTTACGCAGACACAAGGAGAACATGCAACCTCCCAATCTTATCTTCTTTAGTCTAAGAGGGACAACTTGCACAATCGGTAACTGCCAAACACCTTTTTGGCCCTCTGTATTAAGCCCCGTTGGGATAGTTTTACATAACTCCACCGAACCTCTCCCGTTCCCCTATGACCTTCGGGTGAGGGAAAACACATACTGGAAAACCTCCCCTCACTGTCTACAGCTCACTGAACATGGTTTATGCCAAATGGACTTGTTCTTTCTTCAAACTATGATGCATTGTCCATCTTTTCCCTTTCTTCCTGGTGTGTAGTAAGTAAGTAGTAAGAAATTTCACAGAGTTACAAATCACTCTATAATTGTTGTGGGCATTTGTTCTCTCACTCCACACAGAGGTGAGAGCGGGATCGTGGAACAAGAAGTGCAGGCCAGACCTATGTTATTAGTGGTAGGGGAAAACCGGAGCACCTGGAGGAAACCTACGCAGACACAGTGAGAACTCAAGACAGAAAGGTCTGGAGGTGGAAAAGACCCCAGGACCTTAGGGTTAAACACTGAGCCACTGTGGACCGCCGCCCATGGACCCACACCACGTACCAGGGTTTTCTGACCGGTGTTAAAACGCCATGTCGACCCGCAAAGACAGTGGGAAAGGTTGGTGAGGTTTTTAGACTCCAGTAGTTTTGGAAAGTGTCGTGATAAGTTCCATACACATCACATTACAATGGATCAAGGCAAGTTTCCCGTCCAAGTGGCGCAAAGACAAAGACAACTTAATCATACATTAGCTTCAAACATCATTTTGTCTCCCATCTCAGTATTAACCATGCCCTGCACTGCTTAGAACCTGAGGTCTGACGGAATCTGGCTTTCGCATGCAGGTGGCACCACAACTTTATAAACGGGAAAAAGTCCAGTCTTTGATGCAAGCTCCAAGCTGAAAGTCCTCAAGTTTTAATGTTGTTCTGTTCATTTACAGAAAAAACTGTAATTTAAATACTCATTTTAATAATGTTTTTGTAGTAGCAGCAGTAGTAGTAGTAGTAGTAGTAGTAGTAGTAGTAGTAGTAGTAGTAGTAGTAGCAGTAGTGGTCGTAGTAGTAGTAGTAGTAGTAGTAGTAGTAGTAGTAGTAGTAGTGGTCGTAGTAGTAGTAGTAGTAGTAGTGGCAGTACCGTTTAACCAATAAGAAAGTCTGTGATCCGGGTTGCCAGAACTCACTGAGTCAAGCTAATCTTGCTGGTAAAGTACCATGTGACCGCAGGAATAAAAAAGGTCTCGTTATGATCAAAATCATTAACGACAAAACAAGGAGTTCTGTCTTTGTAAATAAGGTGTTGGTTATAGATTTTTTTGTTGACAAATCCTTGTCTATTCAGATATTTTGGTCCCAGCTGGATTCATCTGCATATCTGGCAACCTGAGTCAAGGGGAGTGGGAGAGGTTGCAGTACCACTTTTGGCCAGATTTGTACATACTGCTCCTTTAAAATTTTAGATGACACAATATGCAGTTTGTCATTCATTGTAAAAGTCTGATTTTGAGAAAACAACAATAAGACTATTTTCATTTCCTTCACAAGTCTCTCTAGATGATTTAAAACATGTGATTTCTACGGACACTAAATAAAGTTTCAAAACATAAAATAAAAAGTCCAAACCCCTGTTTTCTACTCTACTCTGCTCTACCTCCATCATGCTTTAGTATCTGGTACTGTATCCTTGCAACAACAACCATCCAGGATCCGGGGAAATTCCTTGGCAACCATGGCTCCCAGCAGCAGTCCGACCATTATGTGTCTGCTAGAACACTTAGCTCAGCCTGGATAGAACAAGGGCCAAGCAGGTACTGAAAAAAGTACCGAGTGGCGGGTAAACAGGGCCGATGTAAACGCTCCCAATCGAGGCTAAAGTCAAGTCTGGACAAGCGGCACTTCAAAGAGTTTGTGTAACCACCAGCAGAGGAGAACAATCAAATCTACAAATCACAAAAAAACTCATTTCTTTCATACATTTTTTAGTAACAGAATGGTTAAGTTGTTTACACACAGTTCAAAACGGGCTAAAATGATCTCAAAGTTTCTTCTAGTTTCTACCTCTGACAACACCAAACTTCTTGTGTCTTTGCAGTGTCGTTTGTTCCACAGAAGGGTCTTGTAAAAGTTAACATCTTATTAGAAAACATGTTTTATTTTGGTCAAGAACGAGCCCTGTGAGTCACTATTTGATGCTTTAGGCAGAGAGCTGATTGGCTGAGAGAGAGTGGTTCAGTATTTTCAACTTTTCTGCCTGAAAAATGGATACAAAGATGTGACAGAGGCTAAAACAAAATCCCAATCAGTGATAGAACCAAACCGTTGTGAGAGCGAAAAACTCAAATTAATTTGTTTTTGTGGTTTCAAAGTCAGGTACCCCAGCTTTAGTGGCTGATTTGATCGGGGCTATCTGTAAAGGGAATTTATTCATAAGCTTTCCACATCTTTTATGAATGGCACTGACCTGCTTTTGGCAAAAATATGAGCACAGAGATACATTTTCTGTAATTATTCATAAACGACTCTAACAAACCCTTTTCCGACAAAGACAGTTTGAAAGCTGCACGTGCTCCTACCTTTGAATGTGCACAAAAACAAGGCCAGTCCAAGCAGCGAGCGTGGCACCCCCATGTCTCCGCTGTGTGTGTGTCTGACGGACTCTGCACACTACAGCCTCTCTTAGGCAGCCGGGACGTCCTGGGGGGTGATGGGAGGGGTGTGTGTGTGTGTGTGTGTGTGCGCGTGTGTCTGAGCTCCAGCCTGAGACATGCTCCTCTGGGAACGTGAAAGCGGGAGATGCCTGGCGCTCCATCCATGCGTTTTCTGTTTTATGGGGGCCACAGATGTATTGGGCAGTGGTTTACAGGAGCCTTGTGATGTCACATGGGCTCCTCTCCTCCACACGTCCCTTTGTAACCTACAGATATTATTACAGTAGATAAACATGACTTCAGACGTGGAAGTGCACGTTCAATTGCAACAAGCTTCAATCGAAATGGCAATAGGTTGCAGAATTTAAGAGAAGAGAGAGAAGAGGATAGAGGAGAAAGGGGTGAGGAGAGGAGAGGAGAGGAGAGAGAAGAAAGTAGATGAGAGTATTTGTATTTATTTGATCTCCATTAGTTGTAACAAGTACATCTATTCTTCCTGGAGTCAGTCCAGCATGCTGGTCACAAAACATGTTTTACACCAGTTTTCACCAACAAGTGAAACATACATTCTTACATACACACGCAACTGTATAAAGGACCTAGAAATATTCTGACAAAAAACAAAAAAAGGAGATTAATCTGACTCTTAGCAGCAAAACATTTGGTCACATAACACAACTTTATAAAATCAACCAGTTACATGAAACAAATGTCTTTTCAGAAGGGCCTTAAATTGGTACTTACTGTTTGCATGAGTAATGTCACTGGGCAAAGTGTTCCAACCATACATGGCTCTATACATTACAGTATTTCTTCCATTGTTAGTTGTTACTTTGGGCAGTTTAAATCTGCCCTCTGTGGCATGTCTGGTTTCATAATGATGCTCTTCCAGACTAAAATGTAGCTCTCTGTACAATACATTTGGAACTTTACTTTTAATTATGTTTCTGGTTACATTCATTAAGGAACCAGTGAATCTCTCTTTCACCTTGAGCCAGGACAGTGTGTCATGCATCCAGTTTACATTTGTTCTGATGGAACACCGAAGAGCACAGCGAGCTGCTCTATTTTGGACAGTTTGTAAAGTCCTTACCTTTGTTACTGCAGCACATGACCATATTATTGAGCAGTAATCTAACTGTGACAATACCAGGGTTTTTAAAACATCTGCAGTCATACTGGAAGACAGCATATGACAACATCTTCTAACCACCAGATGAGAGGAGAGAGGGGAAAGTGGTGAGGAGAGAGGAGAGGAGAGGAGAGGAGAGAAAAGAAAAGAGAGAGGAGAGAAGAAAGGAGAGGAGATGATAGAAGGGACAGGAGAGAAGAGGGGAGAGAAACAAGGAAAGGGGAGAGGAGAAAGGAGAGGAGAGAAAGGAGAGAGGAGAGTAGAAAGGAGGGTAGAAGAGAAAGGAGAGGAGATGATAGAAGGGACGGGAGGGGAGAGGAATAAGGAGAGGAGAAAGGAGAAAGGAGGGGAGAGGACAGAAGTAAGGGGGGAGTAGGAGAGAGGAATGGGGTGAGGAAAGGATGGATGGAAGGGTAGAGGAGAGGAGAAAGGGGGAGAGGAGAGAAAAGACAGAGGAGAGGAGAAATGAGGAAAGAGGAGGGGAGAGGAATAGGGTGAGGAAAGGACAGAAGGAAGGGGAGAGGGGAGGGGAGAGGAGAAAGGAGAGAGGAGAGGGGAGAGGAGAGAAAAGACAGGAGAGAATAGAATGAAGGGGAGAGGAAAAGAGAGAGCAGAAGACAAGATTGGTGGCAATGCAACTCTATGTGAAAGAAGCCATTTAAAAAAAACATAACATTGTTTTCCCAAAGTCTTCATACGTCTGAGCGTCTCTGCTCAGACTGCTGCCCCCGCCATCCGGCAACAGAAGAAGAAGAAGCAGAAGAAAATAGATGGATGGATGTCTGTGATTTTGTTCATGGCAGTAAATAATACAACCTTTTGTACAGTAGTTGCTCACGGTTTACTTTTCAGCTGTCGTTTTCATACTGTAGGCTGGGTATGCAGGTGTCGAGCGCGGTGTTTTGAAATGGAAGATTTGGAACGTATCAAAATAAAAGAACAAACGTTAAAACCCAGACTTCTCAAGCCAAGCTCAAGTTCTGTAAATCTTTCAACTTATAGTGTGAAAGTCCATCTAAATGATTACCTGCATGTATTTCTTTGAAGATGTTGGCGCCCTCTACTGGCCATACAACACAGCTACAAGCGCCTGTACTAAAAATATATCTAGATCACTTATCTCATTTGCTGCATGGCCCCTGAGCCGCAGTTTGAAAACCACAGCTCTAAATCCACTGAAACATAAAAATCCTTTAGATTTGTTTCTCCAAAATCAAATTCTGCCTCATAGGAGTGAGCTCTTTGCTGCGCCCAAACTTGTGTCAAGTGCTGGACACATTCAGGATATTTCACAATGCTATTTAGCACAAGAGTCCAAGAAACAGCAGTGTCACAATACTGCAGGGGTCTTTTTCAATCAGAGAGCTACTTTTATACAGCAGAAGAGGCAGAGAACTATACTCCTTTTCAGTCACAATAAAAGTCTTTATAACCACTGCAGAAAAAACATGGAGAACACACCTGGACAATATACCAGAATACTACTTAACCCTGAATATATACTTAAACATAAACATGTAATTACTCAAAATGAAACAATTCAGGGTCATGTGTTAAATTCTAAATCCTTTGGGGAGCTACCAGAAAGGGGCTGGCGAGCTACTGCTGGAGATGACTTTTATTGCAGCATGTGAAGTGAAGAATGTGGGGGTCACAGAAGAAAAGAAGAGAAGAGACAAGGAAAGAAGTAATTACAGAACGATACTTTGGTCCCTTCACTTACTTTGTGCTTCACAGCAAGAAGGTCCTGGGTTCTATTCCACCTCCAGACACAGGAGAACATGCAAACTCCACTCCACTCAGAAAGGCCCTTTCTGAGTGGAGTTTGCATGTGCCTCCTGTGGACGACCTGCTCCTGTGTGGAGTGAGAGAACAAAAGCCCACAACAATTGTAAAGCACTTTTTGACTCTGGTCTGTGAAAAGCGCTGTATAAATATGAACATTTCTATAAATAAAGATAAATTATTACTACTCACCGTCATATTATCACTGTTGTAGGTCTCATGTCCTATACCACTTACCGTAGTGTAACATGTGTAAGACGCAGGAGTCAGAATAAAAATGTCTTTGAACCTCTCACTCAGTCTAATCATTTATACCAAGAATAACTCTTCTTCAATTGTGACAAAAAATGACTCTTTTGACGAGCAGTAATAAGTTGGTTAAAAGTTAACAAGAATGTACCAAAGATTTGTAATATTGTTATAATTATTATTAATATAATTATGGGTAAATACCACTTACACAAAAACCAATGACAAGATAAAATTCCATCCTTCACAATATTTAAAAGTGAACTCAATGCCTATTTTCCTTCCCTTTCATTTTTAAAGACTCAAAATATTTAATAGATCCATGTGTTATGTTTGGGCACCTTTTTCCCCATGGTTTTATATCTTGTCTTTTTTGTTTCCAGGGATTTTGGGTTTTATAATTTTGGTAATATTGTTTTCTTATAAGTATATTTTGTAAGGTAACTTTTTGATAGACTTATGAGTAACGTGTTTTGTTTATTTTGCAGCTCGGGCCGGGATATAAAAGGCGCTGTCTTGGTGCACTCCCGCCCCTCTCTGCTCTCATCCTCGTTTGTTCCACCTGCTGAGGTGAGCGTGCCCGCGCTGCGCGCTCCCTCTTGGTCCGGCTTGCGGCCTTCTCCAGACGCCGCATGGTTTGGTTGTTTTGTAGCCTTTCGGTAGTTTAGTTTTTGTTTGATCTGGTGGGTCCGGTGGTTACATTTTCGTGTGTGAGGGTGTAGCTAGTTGGGTTTTTCTTTATTCTTTAGGTAGGGTGTCGGCATCGGATCCGGACGGCCCTGGATAGGGTTGGTTCGGTGTCGGCCCATTTTGTTTGTTTCGGCTGGCCCACCAGGTCCACCTTTAATTTGATTACTTTGGGTTTTTGTGTTTCTGGACACGGGGTTGGGTTTTTTTGGGTTAATCCATAAATTGGATTTATATTAAAACAAGAGTTCATTTGGAATACGTAAATAAAATCTATTTTGGAACTCTTACCCTGTCTCTGTGTCCTTAAATATGTTTTGTCCTTCGGGTCGTAACACCATGGTTGTAACTTGTCTTACTGAATGTATGTTTTTTTTAGTACTTTGAACACAATTGCTGTGTCCTAACGAGAGTTGTATATTTGTATGTGTATTGTTATATAACAATAAAGAAAATATAAATAACAACAAGACTATTCAGATTCACTCAATGTCTTAGCTTGATTGGTTAGAACGATGGAGTGGGCGGAGCTAACGAGGGTAAACACGGAAGTGGAAGAGTCTCCTCGTGACAGTTCCAAGCGATTCAAGTCTCTCAGTTTTATATGATCTGTGTTGTACTATTGTGGATCAAACATGCAGGCGGCGAGGAGGCGGCGCGGTCCTCTGCCTTTTCCACCAAACAGGTCTGTAAATGAACCCTTTTCTTCATCCATCTTTATCCAGGACACGGATGCGGGTTCATCAGCCCGTTCTAATGTTATTCATTATTAGACTGAAATATAATCAAAATAAGTGGCACAAATACATCATAGTTTGTTGTTTACTCTAAAGGATTAACTGCATATTTAATTTTTTTTTAAACAGGTACTTTACTCGTCCCACTCATATAATGTGAAGAAAGAAAGGCTGCTTATGCACACTGCTAATATAGACTGTATATAGATGCACAAGGCTAATATAGACTGTATATAGATGCACACTGCTAATATAGACTGTATATAGATGCACACTGCTAATATAGACTGTATATAGATGCACACTGCTAATATAGACTGTATATAGATGCACACTGCTAATATAGACTGTATATAGATGCACACTGCTAATATAGACTGTATATAGATGCACACTGCTAATATAGACTGTATATAGATGCACACTGCTAATATAGACTGTATATAGATGGACACTGCTAATATAGACTGTATATAGATGGACAAGGCTAATATAGACTGTATATAGATGGACAAGGCTAATATAGACTGTATATAGATGCACACTGTTAATATAGACTGTATATAGATGCACACTGCTAATATACAGTAGACTGTATATAGATGGACACTGCTAATATAGACTGTATATAGATGGACACTGCTAATATAGACTGTATATAGATGCACACTGCTAATATAGACTGTATATAGATGCACACTGCTAATATAGACTGTATATAGATGGACACTGCTAATATAGACTGTATATAGATGCACACTGCTAATATAGACTGTATATAGATGCACACTGCTAATATAGACTGTATATAGATGACACTGCTAATATAGACTGTATATAGATGCACACTGCTAATATAGACTGTATATAGATGCACACTGCTAATATAGACTGTATATAGATGCACACTGCTAATATAGACTGTATATAGATGCACACTGCTAATATAGACTGTATATAGATGCACACTGCTAATATAGACTGTATATAGATGCACACTGCTAATATAGACTGTATATAGATGCACACTGCTAATATAGACTGTATATAGATGCACACTGCTAATATAGACTGTATATAGATGCACACTGCTAATATAGACTGTATATAGATGGACAAGGCTAATATAGACTGTATATAGATGCACACTGCTAATATAGACTGTATATAGATGCACACTGCTAATATAGACTGTATATAGATGCACACTGCTAATATAGACTGTATATAGATGGACAAGGATAATATAGACTATATAGCTGCACAAGGCTAATATAGACTGTATATAGATGCACACTGCTAATATAGACTGTATATAGATGGACAAGGCTAATATAGACTATATAGATGGACAAGGCTAATATAGACTGTATATACAGTAGATGCACACTGCTAATAGAGACTGTATATAGATGGACACTGCTAATATAGACTGTATATAGATGGACACTGCTAATATAGACTGTATATAGATGGACACTGCTAATATAGACTGTATAAAGATGGACAATGCATTGCGCAGGACAGACTGTATATAGAAAATGTCAAAGTTATGAAGACCAACAATGTACATAAGCTGAGTAATTACTTCCATAAAAAAGCCGTCAAATTGACTGCTCTGGGTGTTCTAGAGTTAACAGATTTATCCATACATTTTCGTCCCCTTAATCCATCTCTGGGTCGGGGGTGGCAGTCAGTGCACCCAGTACACAGAGCACCAGCCCCTCTCTGATCTTGATTTTTCAGCGAGGGTTTCAGGCAAAGTGGGGTTGAGTGTCTTGCCCAAGGATACAATTAGCAGACATTAGTGGGAGACTTGAAGTAGGTCGCGTGGTGGGCTCGAACCCACGACCTTCAGGCTCAAAGGCTAATGCTCTACCAACTGAGCCACTGTCGCCCCGTTAATAGATTTCCTCCTTACAATATTCATTCCGGATAAAAATGCAAAGAAAAGAAATCACTGCCAAAATGCTGCACAATTCCCTCACAAAGCGATGTCGTCCCCAAACTCAGTGAAACTCCCAGACTTAAAAAAAAAACCTTTTTGGACACTGGCCTCCATTGTTGCAGCAGCCCGTTGTGGACTGGTCGCCAAATCTGACCCCGTGTCCCAGGCCTCCATGACATTTCCCTGGGGCTCCTCGTCAATCAGATTAGCAGTTGCGTTTACAGCTTGACACAGAGATGGTCCTGTGTCTGCAGAGGCCGCTCTCACACAGCAGGAAGTTGCACAATAGGGTTGAACAGAGTGTTGTCCACAGCTGGAGGCTCCGAAAGTCAGTAGTGGAATGTCTACAAGTTTATATAGTAGACAAGGTTATACCATATCTTCACTTTGGTTATATTTAAGCTACACATAGAGATGATATTTTCCTAATTTATAGAGTTGTGCTTTACTTAATATTCACTTATGTTGTGTTGTGTAGTCTTCGTTTCTTCTGTTCTGTAACTTGTGACGCAACAATCTTAATCTTTCGTACCAGTCTATTCAATTCAATGTATTTGTGCGGCACGGTGGCTGAGTGGATCGCACTCTCGCCTCTCAGCAAGAAGGTCCTGGGTTCGAATCCCGGTCGGACCAGGGCCTTTCTGAGTGGAGTTTGCATGTTCTCCCCGTGTCTGCGTAGGTTTCCTCCGGGTACTCCGGTTTCCCCTACCACTAAAAATATGTACAATAGTTCTCCAATAGTTCTCTGTGTGGAGTGAGAGACAAGTGCCCAAAAATTAACAATTGTAAACCGCTTTGAGACTCAGATCTGCAGTGAAAAGGCGGTATATAAATAAAAACTTACTTAACTTAACTTACTTATTTGTGTACAGCCCTAAATCCCTCGGAGGACTTTACAACTTTACAAAGTTGTCAATTCCTCTAACCACAGGAAATGTAATAATAACAAACACATAGGAGCAACTGTCTACAGGGTCTGGGGGCGGGATGACAAATGTACTTCAATGTTAAAACATGTCCTGGGTCATCACTGTCCTTAGAACCTCCTGCATTGGCAAGGAATGACTCAAAAAATGGTGAGAAACCTTGGTGAGGCCCATTTTAAGAGAGGGATTCGGCCCCATGGAATGACAGACTGTAGATCAGGGACCCAGGCTGTAGATCCAGGACTGAGGAGGCTCCCAGGTGCCTCAGACTCGGAGGGGAGGCCCATCTGATGCTTGTTGAGCTGCAGTCTGCACCTTTTGTTCCATCGACCTCAGGATCATTTAATAAATTCTAAATTACAGTCATGGGACACAAGCCTGACTCTCACCAGATCCTTGTAGTTCACTGAGCTTCTCACAAGGGTCTGGATTTTCTCAATTGGAGATTGAGTTTTTCAGAAAGCAGGTGCTTGTAAAAAAAAATCATTGTATGTGATTGGATAAACCACTTGTACTTTATCTTGAATGACATGCTTCAGCCACTCGCATCGAAGAACACGACTTTACACCAAACTTTTACTCTTAAAACCCACATATCCCAACATGGAACCATCAACATCTCATCTCATGTGTGTCGGCCATCTTTGTTTGCATTACATCATAAACAGCAGAGGCAGCAGATTTTGAGAAGACAGTGCAAACCGATGTTACACCAACGATTCTGATTGGTTCATTACTTTTTGCTATCTTGAAGGAGTTTTAAGATTAAGATTAAGAGATCCTTTGCATTGCCCTCGACCCCAGATCCTTGTGGGGAGCTCAGTAAAACGCCTCTGGTGGAGCACGGCGGAACTACAACAGTCAAGCTAATGGAACACTGCAGCACTCTTAAATGAATAAGTAAATATCTGAAATCTGAACATTGTAAAGCGCTTTGGGTGATCTTGGTCTGAAAAATTACTTACTTAATTACTTCTGTAGCGTTGGATTTCTCTCTCTCTCGTTCTCTGTGGGTTCCTTCTCCCACTGCAGAATCGCCAACACAGATCAGAGAATCCAAACAGTTCACACACAGGAAATGCAAAATGATCCCGGTCTAACCACGTCACCACACACTGTATTGTATCGCAGCCCTAATGCAAAACAAACCAATCAAATCCTCTCTGAGTCCCTTTCTGTCCCTTCTTGACTTGTTAGTTCTCCGTCTGCTTCGGAGAGTCACTCGGCACAGGAGAAAAAGTACTTCCACTTGGACCTGTGGCTGGGTCTGACGGTGCAGAACTGGATCCTGGACTTCGGCAGACCCATTGTGATGGTGAGTGGCTCCCGCAGGCGTAACACTGAGCTCTTTCCAATGATGAAACATGCAGAGTTGTCAGGTGTGTGTGTGCGACAGTAAGAGAGGCCTGGTTGTGTGTTGTCAGATCGTGCTGCCCCTGGAGTGGTTCCCTCTGAACAGGCCCAGTGCGGGGGACTACTTCCACATGCTCTACAATGTTCTGACTCCGTTCATCATGCTCAAGGTGAGACACACACACACACCAGTGCTTTCAACAATCCAGTGCAGTGGTCTCAAACACGCGAAAAGGGATTTTTTTTGCGCGGTACTGAATGTTTTTACATCCCAAGCCCTGGTGATCCAAGATAAGCGGAACTCGCCCATATTAGAGCATCATCTTATCCTCCCGTTACAAGCTCCCATGATGCTTTGCGCCAAATGCGTGTGTGTGTGTGTGGTGCTCTCATCCACATGCACAGAGGGCGTGTTCTGATGACTGTTAAAAGTGTTAAAAGCCAGCCTTGAGCATAAAGGCCAAAATCAGTGAGGACAGGCATGTCAGGGGGCAGCTTGTTATAGAGTCTTGGTCCAGGATTGAGAAGGACCGGTCTCCCCAGTGTATAGACCTTGTCCTTGGTACTTCGAGGAGGAGTTTAGATGAGGACCTCAATAATCTGCCCGAGTCACGAACAGTCAAGAGCTTGGACAAGTACAGATGGCGAGACCATTGAGGGCTTTAAAAACAAAGAGTAACATTTTAAAATCCACTTGAAACGAAACTGGAAGCCAATGTAGGGAATAAAGGACAGGGGTGATGTGTTTACGTCTGGGTGTGTCATATGTGGAAGTAAGCAAGATTTTAAAAAGACAAACAATTAAAAGCACAATGAAATAACCCAGTTTGAAGCGTCATTCAAAGCACAAAAGGTGTATTCAACAGTGCAGTGCAATTTGCAATAAGTACAAACCGCACAAGTTTTCAGGGTCAAGTCTGATTGGTTTGTCCTGACGCTGCAGAGTGGGAGGAATGAGAGTGCATGTGGAGACGGAGGCTTTCACAAAAGAACCTCGGACCTGCAGTGTCTCATCCACAGCTGTTAACCATGTCTGTGCTAAAGTCCAGGAAGAACAACTTTTATGAAGAGAGGGAGAGAGTTTCCCCTTTGAACTGAAATGCTGTCTACAGTTGGCCTTTTATAGACAGAAAAGGCTCTTTCCTAAAACTATGCAAATGTTATTATGTTTTCTGATTTGTTGAAATGATTTGTTTTGGGATAATCCTTTGCTGGTAACTGATTTTAATAGATTAACCTATTCTCTGATGTTGGATCAGCCAGACACTTAAAGCATTAGCATTAGCATTAGCATTAGCAGTACATCAAAGTGAATCATATCAAACCCTGGAGCAGCATATTCTTTAAGTGAATAATAATAATGCATGTGAATCCAGAAAGAAAAACATAAACATTCAATATGCTAGCATCATGTCATCAATAAGTACATGAGATATCAGTTTACTATTTTTTTTACTATTTATATATTTATTGCTCCACCAGAGGCTACTCCACCTCTGCTGCTGTGACCGGAAGGGCTGTTGCTTATTATTAGTATTGTTAGCTTTTTAGAAGGATCCATGTTATTTTATTTTTTTTGCTGCTGCTGGACATCTGAATTTCTCCTATGAGGGGTCAATAAAGTATCTACCAACCTACATACAGTACATACATACTAACCTACCTGCAGATGAACAATTTTTATGAAGACAGAGAATCTTGAATAGAAATGCTGAGTGAAGTTATAATTGACCAAACTCGCTTCTTCATCAGTGATTCTAGAGCAGGGAGGTGTACAATAGATGAAAAACTAGAGAAAGGAGCTGGTGTTTCAGAGCAGCCTCCTCCCTCGATGGCAGATGGAGGTTTAGATCCTCCTTAATGTGTGTTTTTGCGTCTGTTTTGCGAGCTCAGCTGATTGAGCGCAGTCCGAAGGCTCTCCCTCGCTCCGCCGTCTACCTCTGCATCATCACCTTCGTCATGGGCGCCAGCATCCACCTGGTGGGAGACTCCATCAACCACCGCCTCCTGCTGAGCGGGTACCAGCTGCACCTGTCAGTGAGGGAGAACCCCATCATCAGGGACCTCAAACCTACCTCTCTGGTACTGCTGCTGCACACAATAGACACACAGCAGCAGACACACAACAGACACACAGCAACAGACACACAGCTCTTAGTGCAGGACATTCTCCAGTTGTTCTTTGTGTCTTTTGTGTTTTTGTGTACGCTGCCACAGACACCAGTGCAGACTTCAGAGACTATACACATAAATCCTCAAACGCACAACTACTTCGACTCCCTGACCAGTCGTTTTGACCGGTCCCATTCAAATCAATGGAATTCCAAAAACCCCTAAAAACAGTTAACATTTTTCACTAGATTTATTCAAATGAATTCATTTGTAGGATTTTTTGTTGTTAATAAGTGTTAAGACTGGTTAATATCACTGATCGTTTGTTGTTACTTAATGCTGACTGCTTTCAAGTAAAAAGCGTGTTGCTATGGTAACTAGCACAAACAAGAACCAGAACCAGTCCAAAACGAACACCTTGAGAAAACGGGATTGAACAACCATAATTTGAACCTTTGAAAAGTGTACATGCAAATCAATGGAGCAGTCAAAATGACTGCTCTGGGAGGTACACCTACTCATGTTTCAAAAATAAAATAATTTCATAATAAAAATGACATCAACTACAAATAGAAACAGAAAGTCACAAAGATATGAAGACCAAAAACGTACATTTGCTGAGTGAAATTAAAGCCGCTATTTTGACTGAGTTCATGTCATGCTGTTACAAAAGCAGATGCTTTGTTCTAATAGATAAACAAAAAAAGGAACTGATTTGACCAAGATCTAAAATTAAACCTTACTTTTCACACAATTATCTCTCATTACCAATTATCACAATTCTCTCATTACCATCTCATTACTACAATTCTGTGTCCTCCTTCTAACAGCAGAGGGCAGTAGTGTGTCGTGAAGCACACAGAGGCCACATCTGTACATGTGAACTCTAGCTGTATTTACAGTGGCCACAGAGATTTGGTCATTTTTAAAACCACCAAACACTTTTTAAAGATCAGAGCAGACAAATGTGAAGTGAAGGCAAAAGGATATAAGACTTATGATTTCCAGGCAAGTTTATTTGTTTAACACAATTTATGCATGCAGCAACTTAAAGTACTGAACTTGACTTGAAACGAGTGAAGATTCAATCCCTCAGTTGTAGCACAGATGAACACAACTGTTTTTAAGAAGCTGTTATAGAAGCCTGTCTCACATTTTCATTAGGACTGCTGAAACGCTGCCTCCCCTCCCCTGCTGGGACTCTGAGGAGGCCTGTCCCTGTGCTTCTCAGAGTCCCAGCAGGAGGCCAGACCCTGTGCTCCTCAGAGTCCCAGCAGGTTCCTAGGCACTAACAGACACTAATGTCACAGATGTACTTTGGAGAGACTCACAAATAGAGCTGCTTTAAAGTCTCTGAGCCACAGGAGCCAGTGCAGAGACCTGAGAACTGGACTATTGTGATCGTACTTCCTGGTTCTAGTCAGAACTTGGAGCTGCTGCGTTTTGAATGTACCGCAGCTGTAATCACAATCCCTGTCTGCCCCGCCCCTGCTCTGTGTCCCTCAGATCGACTCCTTCGAGCTGCTGTACTTTTACGACGAGCAGCTGGGACACCTGATGTGGTACGTGCTTCTTTTCTTCTTCCTGTGAAAACTCGGCGCAGCTTGGCTTATAGACGCGCACGTCCTGAAACATGGGAGTCATGGATCAGGGACAGGAGTCAGAACAAGCTTCTGTCTGAAATGTAAAAAGTTACATTCGCGGAGGTGGATGCGTCTCTTATCAGCTGTTGTTGCCGGATGTGGTCAGTCTGACAGACCCTTCAGACTGACCATGTCCCTCGGCCTGTTGTGGTCTCTTATGATCACGGCCCATCAACAGAGACGAGGGGGCTTTCACCTTGGATCACACTTGGATTCACTTCTCCAGAGACCACAACGCGCTGAGGGACGTGGTCCATTTTTTTAGTTTTTGATGAAAAAAAGAGAAAAAAATCATTGCTTTCAGGCGTCTGTTAATTTGTGGTTCAAAAAATATCCCTGTTTTATTAGGATCCTATTGGGACTAAAACACGTAATTTACTGTAGACGTGTTGGGAAGTCCCGGGGGAAGAAGACCTGCCTTTGGTTGGGAAGTAACACAAAGAAAAGCCTGGAGTCTAAGCATATTGTTAAATCAGTTCCAACTCCCTCAGAGCGTCTCAAACAGAGGAGAGCGGCCCTGGTGTGAAGTCCTTGCATTTGTCATTGATCGTTCCTCCTCCCGTGGCTGCGATTCAGACGTATGATTAGAAACATGATTACAGACTGTCTTTGCCATGGAGACGTGAGCCGCCAGTATGAGTCGAGGTTAATACATTTTCATAATTCATGGCTGTAACTTTACGCCATTGTTCTCCGAGCCGAGCTTTTGTCCGACGGCGGAGACTCCCGCTGGTGTTGGGTGAATATCAATTGCACTGTGAGCTCAAAGTTTGCAAAGGATTCAGTGTAACATTCAATATTCCATAGAAAGTATTGGCTTGTCCTTGCTTTAAATTATTAAAATCACACTGGCAAACTTGTAGGATTCATTCTTTGTCCTGAGAAATCTACACAACACTGGCAGCAGGGGGCGACAGTGGCTCAGTTGGTAGAGAGCCTTTGAGCCTGAAGGTTGTGGGTTTGAGCCAGTGGGGGCGGGTCCCGGCTCAAAAACGTCCGTGAGCATATGCGCTGACATTCTTAAATACCAACCCGGGCCTGTGGGGGTGTACCCGGAATGAGAATTACTCAATGCTTTTTGTATGGGGTCTTCTTTCTTCTCAAAAACAGTTTCACAGGATGGTTCAAAAGTCGCTCTCAGTGCTGTGGTGGGGTCTAAAGCCGGACTGAAACATATCAAATGAGTTGTTGATTTTAAGAAATCTAGTAAGCTGTAGGTAGACAACTTTTTCAAGGACTTTCCCGATAAATGGCAGATTTGAGATGGGACGATAGTTGTTAAGTACCGTAGCATCCAGACTGCTCTTTTTTAGAAGGGGCCTGATGACTGCAGTTTTCAGGGCCTTTGACATGGTTTAGTTTAAAGACTAAACCATGTCAAAGGCTAAACTCTTACATGACTTGGTTTAGTTTAAAGACCAATAAGCTAATAACATAGTTTTTTGTGGTTAAAAAATATATCTCTAACAGACCCCTGCGACCAATCAGCGAGCGGGGAAGGTCGCGTGTCGTTGATTTCAAGAGTTTGTGCCAAATTTGCTGGTTGTAGTTTGGCGGAGAATGCGATTGTAAAGTAATCCAATCTGGTTCGGCTCCAAATATTAAGAAATTGAAGCCAGAGCAAGAGGAATGTTTAGCAAATGTCATTGCTCCAAAGATGTTGTGGCTCTACTCCCCACGGGCCCCGTTAGTGGCAAAGGAGATGGCTAAAGCTAGGCTAAATGCTAGCGACTCACTCGGGCGCATTATACACATCACGGTAAACTCGGATCTAACTGTTTCTATCTGCAAAAGGAGTTAACCCCTCCCACCTGTTAACGGAACTCAATGGAGCAAGTCCAGACCTTAGTACGTACTGAAATTAGTACGATGGTGTGGTAAGACCAGGCTACCTTCAGTCACTCGTCTGTTGCTTTGCTTTGGACATCAGAGTTTATGGTTGTAAACAAGAAAAGGTTCAAGAGTCTTATTTCCATTTGGACAACATGGTGAAAGCTGAGTGTTGGGAGTAATGCTCATGTTTAGGGTGCGCTGAGGACCCGCGTGCAGCTGCTGCTCCCTGTCAGAGGTCCAACACTATTACCCTGAGAGTGCATTCCTCCTGACTCTTTCAGTTGTTTAACTGCAGTCATTAATAAAGTCAGGCTTGAATACAGGTAAATATTCTGTAGGTGATGTGGCTTGATGGATTGTGTTTTATCCATCCGTTCTCATCTGGAGGAATCCACCTTTTTAAAGTTAATAACACTATTGTGCAGTGGCCTCTTGATGACATCTCTGTTACTGCAATGTCTGTGGCTACATAAGAACTCGGTTTCAAGCTTAAACTGAGATGATTTTTATCTTTTATAATGTTAAGAAGCACAAAAGGAGGAAATAATAGAGAGATGAGGGACTGCAGAGGAGAGGTGAGGAGGGGAGTGAGGAGAGCGAGAGGAGGGGTGAGGAGAGAGGGGGAGGAGAGCGGAGCGGCACACAGGCAGGAGGGATGCGGTTGCTCGGTACAATACAATAAAAAGATACATTACTGTTATTTTGAAAATCTGTGAAAGCTGATGGTTCATGACTGCAGGAGGCACAGACCTTCTGCTGTCAATCATGTCAAATACACAATAGAACTATAAATACACAGTTAGATAATGTGAGCTCAGGATCAGTGAAAGTGGAAACAGAGACTGAACAGGATCTCGAGAACTTTGCCTTTGGGCTCAGTTTTGGAAATCCCTGGAGAGGAGGCTCCGACTCCTCTGGAGGATCCCAGAGAGTTGTGTGAGGAGGTGAGGCCGACTGCCTCTGTATCTCTCAGCGTCCTGCAGGAGCTTTCTGCGCCTCCATCCCTCTGTGAAAGAGTCCACATGGGGGCGGGGCCATGTCTCCGTGCCTCGTTCTACTGATGTGGCCTGGTTTGAAGAACAATACATTTGCTATTGAATTCAATCAATTGTTCCTGGCCTCCGTGGTCACGTTGTTTGTCCTTACAGACCTTAATTCTGTATTTTTCATTAGCTGTACTTTTCTCCAAAAGGATTTAAAAATGTGGTTTATTCTCACTCATTCTGTGGTGTTGAACTTGTGCTGTGGCCACACCTGCCCTGTGGCAGACTGTCCACTCACACAGCCAACTCATACATGTGGGGGTCCTCAGGACACAAGGCAAATTAATAACTGCAATGTGCGTGTATGTGTGTGTGTGTGTGATGTATGTGTTGTGTGCTGCAGGTACATCCCGTTCTTCATCATTCTGCTGCTGTACTTCTGTGGCTGCTTCAGCAGGAGGCAGCAGAGGCTCCCCCTGTCTGCTTGGCTCCTGCTGGGCCCTAGTGCCCTCTACTACTGGTATGAACTCTTATTGTAAATGGTATAAAGGGCATGACAATTGGTCAACCATCACTATGGCAACCCTTACTTTAAGATACAAAAGTCCCCCGTGTGAACCAGACAAGTTCATAAACAAACCAAAATAAAAAAGTACAAGAAAAACAATGTCAACTGTGAAATCAATCAACAAAAAGTGTCATGCTCGTCTGTCGCACATGTATTCCAATGTGGTTTTACTGCAAATAAACTGAATGTGAATCCTTGTGCTTGCCGGTGCAGGTACCTGGTGACGGAGGGCCAGATCTGCGAGCTCTTCCTCCTCACTCTGGGCTGTATGTTTGCTGCGGTGGTCCACCACAGACGCCGCGGTCTGGACCTGGACAGTAATGGACTCTTCCTGCTGCTGAGCTTCAGTGGGACCCTGCTCCTCATGGTTCTGTGGGTGGCCTTCCTCTGGGACGACCCCATCCTCCGCGCCAAGTACCCTGGTCTGCTGTACGTGCCCGAGCCCTGGTCCTACTACAGCCTGCACCTGCGCCACAATCACTGACCACGGGGAGCGCCCTCGGGGAGCGCCCACGGGGAGCGCCCTCGAGGAGCGCCCTCGGGGAGCGCCCTCGGGGAGCGCCCTCGGGGAGCGCCCTCGGGGAGCGCCCTCGGGGAGCGCCCTTGGGGAGCGCCCTCGGGGAGCGCCCTCGGGGGTCTGCTTTAAGTCGCGGCCGGGTCATTTTGACCTGAGGGAAGCACGGGTCAAATTTAAAACTGTTGTTTTTTTAAAAAATATTATGTTTTTAATGTAAATGTATTTTGTCGTGTTACTGTAATCACAGCATCACATGTCCTTGGAGTCCAAGTGGAAAGTAGTGTTTTTTTCTAAAACCTGCAGATGACCTATTTCCTTTTCATGAGATTATTACTTTTTGTGATCTTTAAAGTAACATTTTGTTATGTGTGCAGATAATCTCATTAGCTCAGATCTGAGGAGCTCTAATGAAGCTAACACAAGTGGCCTCATGGCCCTCTCTGGAGCCCCCTCTGGGGCCCTCTCTTGAGCCCTCTCTGGAGCCTGGAGCCCTTTCCAGCGGAGGGAGGGAGTTTGTGCTAAATATTGGAATGGATGAAGCTAAAAACAGTTGGAGGTTGAAGTCGGTCGTAGCATGAGAAAAAGTCAAAACAATACCACTTATGTTTTATCAGTTTGTGAAATTCCAATTACTGCCTCGCTAACCTAATGTAGTCTTTGAGATCATAAACACAGGCTCACAGTGTCATCCAGCCAACTGCAGCTCCACCATTATAAGCATGTTGTACCTGGTTGTAAATATGAGAATCTCTAGAATCCAGTTGTTCACTAAATCCCATCTGTGGCTCTAATGTAGCTGTGGTGAGATCGTTCACGCAAAACTTCATTTCTGTGAAATGTAAATATAAATATATTTAGTCAAAACAGTTTCAAACTAAAAGTTTGAAGTTCTATAGACTGTAATCAGTCCTGTGCTCTCCACGTGAGGAGCACGGAGACAAACGGGACGTCAGTAACAAATGTCAGACTGTAAGAAGTCTGACATTCTCAGGTTTTCAGAAACAGATTCATCTCTGTTCCAAAGAGTTCAAGTGGAACTCGGCGCCCCAGAGAGGGCTCCAGAGAGGGCTGAATTGCTATTATCATGTTTTATCTTTTTTGTCTTTTCAAACACAACCGTCTCCAAATCAGTTCTGTGAGTTTATTACAACTGCATGCTTTTTATTCCCTCCCTCACCTGCAGATGGCGACGTTTTCTACAGATACCTACAGATAAAGACGTGATGCCTAACTTTCCAAATTGAAAACTTTGCAATAAAACTAATGCTGGATAAAACAGTTTGCTTCTATCATTAATTTTCACATTAATTTATTTTTTGACACTTGTCGTGGTAAAGAGGGAGCTAAGCTGAAAGGCAAAGCTCCCTCTTCACCGGTCAATCTTCGTTCCCTCCCTCACCTATGGTCATGAGCTTTGGGTAATGACCGAAAGAACGAGGTCGCGGATACATTTCATTTCATTTTCAACCCCTTTGTCCATTTCTGGGTTGGGGGGGTGGTAATGAGAGCTGCCACCCAACGCTCATTGCACCAGTCCCTCGCTGATCTTCTGCAGGGGGTGAGTCCACAGGAAGATGGCTGCTCCGTCAATTGTGAAACAGCCTTGATCTTTCAGCGGGGGGCTTCAGGCAATGTGGGGTTAAGTGTCTTGCCCAAGGACACAACGACAGCAGTCATCAGTGGGAGCAGTTGGAGTAGGTCCCATGGTGGGAATCAAACTCACGACCTCCAGGCCCAAAGGCCAATGCTCTACCAACTGAGCTACTGTCGCGGATACAAGCGGTCAAAATGAGCTTCCTCTGCGTGTTTGGGCGCTCCCTTAGAGTTAGGGTGAGGAGCTCAGTCACACGGGAGGAGCTCGGAGTAGAGCCGCTGCTTCTCCACGTAGAGAGGAACCAGTTGAGGTGGCTCGGGCATCTGTTCCGGATGCCTCCTGGACGCCTCCGGGCACGTCCCACTGGAAGGAGGCCCTGGGGAAGACTGTCTCTCAGCTGGCCCTTGGGTCCCCCCGGACGAGCTCGTGGAAGTGTGTGTGGATAGGGAAGTCTGGGCGTCTCTGCCTAGACCACTGCTCCAGCGACTCAGGAACAAATGAAGTGGAATAAAATGGATGGATGGACACCTTCAGAAAAGTGAAAAACAGAGGACCACCCTCAACCTCAGCTCAATAATAATAATACTGCATCGGTTTTATATAGCGCTTTTGTGGACACTCAAAGACACTTTACATGTCATTATTCTTTCACTCCATACACGGTGGTGATAAACTACTACTGTAGCCACAGCTGCCCTGGGGCACACTGACAGAAGCGAGGCAACCAGTCTGTGCCATCTGCCCCTTCGACCACCACCAACCATTCACACACACACACCAGACTCATTCTAGGCAATGGGGGTGAAGTGTCTTGCCTAAGGGCACAACAGCAGTTTAGCACTTTACAGCCGCAGCCGCCCCACTGTGACATCAGGTGTTCCCAGAGGTTAAGTGTCGTGCCCAAAGACACAACGACAGCAGACATCAGTGGGAGTCGGCGGAGAAACTCTTGACCTTCTGGCTCAAAGGCCAATGCTCTACCAACTGAGCCACTGGCGCTCAAAGAGTCAAGTAGTGACTCACAGGGCTTCCTTTCATGTATTTGCAAAAGAGCATGTTTTCTAATAAGAGAGATTTAAGGTGCAGTATAAATAAACTGTAATTAAATAATAATAAGAACTAGAAACTTGCAATGGCTGAAGCCATTGCGATTGACTGCGGAACAGATCTAATGTGGAAATCTGCTAAAAAAAATCCTTGAAATCCTTTAAAAGGCCTTGAAACTGTTAAAATACTTGATAGATATTTGAAACTCCTGAAGTCCTTGAAATTGTTGAAACCTTTAAACTCCTGAAATCCTTGAAACTGTTGAAACATTGAAACTCCTGAAATCCTTGAAACTTTTTTAAACCTGGAAACTGTTGAAAGTGTGGAAACTCCTGAAATCCTTGAACCTCCTGATATCCTTGAAACTGGTTAAATTCTTAAACAGTTGAAATCCTTGAAACTACTGAATGTATTGAAAGTGTCCTTGAAACTGAAAAATCCCCTCACCGCTGAAACAATTTGGTTCCTGTAACTAAGGAAACCTGGTCTGTGGTCATTATCTGGTGGTGGTCTGAGTCTTCGTTTGGGTCTTGGTCTGGTGGTATAATGCAACCTATTAGGTTGCATTATACTGGTTTACATGGAAAAATCCCTATTAGGTTGCATTATACTGGTTTACATGGAAAAATCCCTATTAAGTTGCATTATACTGGTTTACATGGAAAAATCTCTATTAAGTTGCATTATACTGGTTTACATGGAAAAATCCCTATTAGGTTGCATTATACTGGTTTACATGTACAAATCCCTATTAAGTTGCTTTATACTGGTTTACATGTAAAAATCCTTATTAAGTTGCATTATACTGGTTTACATGTAAAAACCCCTATTAAGTTCCATTATACTGGTTTACATGTAAAAACCCCTATTAAGTTCCATTATACTGGTTTACATGTAAAAACCCTATTAAGTTGCATTATACTGGTTTACATGAAAAAAACCCTATTAAGTTGCATTATACTGGTTTACATGGAAAAATCCCTATTAAGTTGCATAATACTGGTTTACATGGAAAAATCCCCATTAAGTTGCATTATACTGGTTTACATGAAAAAAACCCTATTAAGTTGCATTATACTGGTTTACATGGAAAAATCCCTATTAAGTTGCATTGTACTGGTTTACATGGAAAAATCCCTATTAAGTTGCATTATACTGGTTTACATGGAAAAAACCCTATTAAGTTGCATTATACTGGTTTACATGGAAAAATCCACATTAAGTTGCATTATACTGGTTTACATGAAAAAAACCCTATTAAGTTGCATTATACTGGTTTACATGAAAAAAACCCTATTAAGTTGCATTATACTGGTTTACATGGAAAAATCCCTATTAAGTTGCATTGTACTGGTTTACATGGAAAAACCCCTATTAAGTTCCATTATACTGGTTTACATGTAAAAAAAAAACCCTATTAAGTTGCATTATACTGGTTTACATGGAAAAATCCCCATTAAGTTGCATTATACTGGTTTACATGAAAAAAAAACCCTATTAAGTTGCATTATACTGGTTTACATGAAAAAAACCCTATTAAGTTGCATTATACTGGTTTACATGGAAAAATCCCTATTAAGTTGCATAATACTGGTTTACATGGAAAAATCTCCATTAAGTTGCATTATACTGGTTTACATGAAAAAAACCCTATTAAGTTGCATTATACTGGTTTACATGGAAAAATCCCTATTAAGTTGCATTGTACTGGTTTACATGGAAAAATCCCTATTAAGTTGCATTATACTGGTTTACATGAAAAAAACCCTATTAAGTTGCATTATACTGGTTTACATGTAAAAACCCCTATTAAGTTGCATTATACTGGTTTACATGGAAAAATCCCTATTAAGTTGCATTATACTGGTTTACATGGAAAAATCCCTATTAAGTTGCATTATACTGGTTTACATGGAAAAATCCCTATTAAGTTGCATTATACTGGTTTACATGGAAAAATCCCTATTAAGTTGCATTATACTGGTTTACATGGAAAAATCCCTATTAAGTTGCATTATACTGGTTTACATGGAAAAATCCCTATTAGGTTGCATTATACTGGTTTACATGTACAAATCCCTATTAAGTTGCTTTATACTGGTTTACATGTAAAAACCCCTATTAGGTTACATTATAGTGGTTTACATGTAAAAATCCTTATTAAGTTGCATTATACTGGTTTACATGTAAAAACCCCTATTAAGTTCCATTATACTGGTTTACATGTAAAAACCCCTATTAAGTTCCATTATACTGGTTTACATGTAAAAACCCTATTAAGTTGCATTATACTGGTTTACATGAAAAAAACCCTATTAAGTTGCAT